GAGAGAGAGAAAGAGAGAAAGAAAGAGAGAGAGAAAGATGGTATGTGGAACACACTCACTCTCGATGGGTCACTCTCACTCTCTCGGGTGAGAGGGAAATTTGGCAGCTGTTTTAAAGCCGGCTAACTGGCGAAACTACCGTACGAATCGACCCCTTCCACAACTCTTCGTCTCTTTTTATTCCATGCACTGGGTTAACACGCTACCGTACTCTTCTCTTTCTACCATTCTCTCTCTCTCTCTCTCTCTTTCCACCACCCATTCTTCTCTTTTTCTCTTCTATTTTTCTTTCTCTCTCTCTTTCTCTCTTTTTTTTCTCTATATATCTCACCCTCCCTTTTTCCTTTTTTATTTTCCTTCTATTTTTTTTGCCCTCCTCCCTTTTTTCCTTTTTTCTTTTTATTTTTTTTTTCTTCTTTTTTTTTTTTTTTTTTATACAAACACACACGAGCTTTCGGGAGTTCGGCTTCATTTTCGCTCCACCGATTTGGTTTCTCTCTTTCGTCGGTACTCGATTGTTTTCTGGTCGACCGATCGTTTTCGATCGCCAACGGCGTACTCTCTCCCTCTCTCTCTCTCTTTCTCATTTTCTCTCTCTCAACGTCGCTTTTGTGAAAGATCGTCGTACTGGCTTATAACTCGTACAAATCACAAAATGGACATACGTGTACGTTTCGATGGATAAGTTTCAAACTTCGTTGCACGTGCGCTTAAACTAANAAAAAAAAAAAAGAAAAAGAAAATTAGAAAAAAAATAAAGCAGGGATTTTCTCGTTTACGATGTTTTTATAATTATTCTCTTTTTCGAATTCGATCGAAATTTTTGAAATATATATGCGAATTTTTATTATTACAATGATATTCTTCTTCCTTTGGTAACTTCTTTCTTTCGAGACAATCACGAATTTGTTAATTTTATAAATAGAAGTTGAATAATTTGCGAAAGGAAATGACAAACTTTTTTTTAAGTTTATTAATAAACCCGGTTATTCATACGGTTTTTTTTCTTTCTGCTTTTTTAATTGTTTTTTTTTTTTTTCCGATCAAACAGAAACAAAATAACACTATTTTACACATAATACTTACTTGTTAGTAACTTGGTTTTTTTTTTTTATGTAATTCTTACTAAACGCCTAATCTACTTCATTTTAAACACCTAATTTAAAAGTATGAACTAAAGTTCAATCTACTTTCGAATGCGCGTCATTCTAAAAAACACTCTCTAAAGTTTTCATTAATTCATTATTATTTCAAAAGAACAAATATTTGATTGGATATTTTAAACGCCAATGCTTTAACCCATTATCCGCCAATGGCCTTTTTTTCGGACGCATTATCAAATTTTTTTATTTTTATAACTACAACTTCAGAATGAAATATATTCGTTAAAATTATGAGAGATCGTATCTCCTCGTGCTTCATGAAAATATTCAAAATTCTCATTCAATTTTATTTTAAATCAAATAATTAACGATATAAAATAATTTTTATATTTAAATTAAAAAAAAAAACAATTTTACAAAAATAATTCTATAGAGTTAGTATGAATATCATTATACGGTTAATTTAATTATTTTTTTGCATTTTCGTATTGTGACGGATAATGGGTTGAATACCTCGACCGAGTAGAAAATAATAAATCGAATATACTTATGCATATATATATATATATGTTGAAATAAAAATTAAACAAGAAAGAGAAAAAAAGAAAAAGAATAAAAGAAAGAAATAAAGAAATAAAGAACGTTGGTTGGTTATCGTCGAAAAACCGTCGACAGCGGCGAGTTACGAGCGACGAAAAGTTTTGCACGCGTTTGCACGCACGTTGCATCGCCGGCGGATGTGGTACACACACGTGCATGCATCCATCCATCTATCCATCCATCCACATGCATGCACGCACGTACGCACGCACGAACGCATGCATGCACGCTGCCATACATAAAAACGTATACCACAGAAACTCAGCAAGTTGGTCGAGAGAGCGCATTGCAAACGCGCGAGATGCATGCACATGTATGTATGCGTGCGCATCGTTTTCTTCCTCTACCACATTCTCGTATGCACATGGAATGAGAGAAAGAGACGTCGTTGCATCGTTTGATAGTATTGGTCGGTCGGTGTGTGCCTGCGAAACCGGCCGAACGTGTAGCTTTTTTGCCACACTGACCTGGGTTAACTTGGAGTACAGTGCCGAATAATAAAACCTCCGGAACCACTGATTCCCCTTTTTCTCTTTCCTTCTTCTTCTTCCCTACTCACACACGCACATACATATATTATGCATATATATATATATATATGTTTACACATTATATTCGTATATGTGAGGAAAAAAGAGAGAAATAGAAAGAGAGTGTGGCGTTCATGCACGAAGGAACTCGGTCCGCCCTCCAGCCAAATATAAACTCGTCTTCTGTCCTTGTCCTTCCTTCCTTCATTCTCTCTTTCTCTTTCTCTCCCTATATCGTTCTCCCTATCTCTCTCCCTACGTGCATCGTTCGCAGCACAAGCAGCACCACTAGATATATATCTATATATATGAGTGGTTCAAGAGTATATGCATATATATATATATATATATATATATATATATATATATATATATATATATACATATATTTATTTAGAAGGTTGTGTAAGTAAAATGCACCGAGTGGCACACAAACCATCGAGGAACCGAGGGCAGGGCCACGGTCAGCCGAAAATAGGGCCGCGCCCCGTCGTTCACTCTCTCTTTCTCTTTCCTCTTTTTCTTCCTATTACACTGGGCTCTTTTATTTACTTGTTCTCTCTCTCTCTCTCTCTCTTTCTCGCTCTCATTTTCGTTTACTCGTTTCCTCCCTCGCTCCTATGTATATATGTGTGTGTGTGTTGGTTGGTTGGTTGGTTCGTTCGTTCGTTCGTTCGTTCGTTCGTTCGCTTGCTCGGCTCATTGAGTTTCAATGGCTCCGGAGTTCTATATGAAGCTACAGGCTGATTCACGCGTTACGGATATGGGAGAGAAGCTGAATATTCGGCCGAGATAATGAATACGAGCGTAGGCGGTACGTTGAGTTTTATTTGACGAAAGCCGATTCGTGTAGTGAGAGAAAGAGAGAGAGAGAGAGAGAGAGAGAGAGAGAGAGAGAGAAAAAAAAGATGGTGAAGAAGAGGATTTAGATATGTCTCTCTATGCATTAGATGTTTTTTAAGCTTCTTGTTTATTTTATTATTTACACTTCCTTTTTATTTTTTATTTTTTTTCATGAAATATTTTTAATTCAATTTGAGTAATTATTCAATCAAGTTATTGTTTATTAACAACCCAAATAAGATTTGTCAATTATAAACCAAGTTTGTTTGTTAAATGTAATAATTGACGATGATAACAAAAATATTTGAGTAATATATTTTATTCGTAAATTATAAAAATGTCTATCAGAGTAAGAGAAAGAGAAAGAGAGAGAGAGAGAGAGAGAGAGAGAGAGAGAGAGAGAGAGAGGATTAAAAATGAGTGAGTTAGAAATATGAAAATTTTCATAAGAAGGATATAAAAAAAAAAAAGAAGCAATGAAAACGATTTCGAAGTCGATGGATAAAACTGACTGACTCATCCACAAAGCACAAGCGATTTCGATGTACGCTCTTCTTCGATAACAATCGAATGGAATGGCGTCTCTCTCTCTCTCTCTCCCTCTCTCTTTCTCTCTTTCATATCGCGATACGCGAACTCGAACGCACTATCGAAAGCCACGCCACGAAGAGTACACCGGTTAAAAGAATTTTTCCCTTACTTTTTTCGCGAACGCATACACATACACACACACGGGCGCACCTTTATGAAATCTATCTTATCCGAGTAGAAGAATGATATCACGTGGGGGGAGAAGTGGGGACCGGAAAAACGATTTCGTGAACGACGATAACGCGAAAAACGTTCTGGAGATTAATATCGTCGCATTTTCTCGAGAAAAAAACCTACCGAATCTTTAATAACTGAAAAAACCTGAACGTCGATATTGAAAAGCGCGAGATATGAATTTCGCTGCTTCGGAGATCCAATAAAATTGAGGATTAATAGGAAATAGTTTCATCTTTCTTTCTTCGTTTCCTTTCCTTTCCTTCCTTCCCTGTCCCTTCCCTTTACCTCATCCTTTCTTCCTTCATTCATTTTTCATTCGACTATCATCAATTATATTTTCACGATTAACATATTTATCATTAATCATTGATTATAATTATTATCATCGATGTTAACCCCTATATAAACTCTTCCCCCGACCACCACCACCACCACCACCACCATCGCAGTCCACTCTCACGGTTCACTTTTGTGACAAAACCATCGTTGGGAGGATTTAGTTAAATAATTATTTTCAAGCAATTTAATAAATAACGTTTCAATATCATATAGCTTCCACAACACCTATACATAGCACGATAATAATTATTATTATTTCGATTAGGATACAATTTAAATTACAAAGTCAATCGACGTTTAAAACATAATTACATCAAGATAATTTTCACACATCTCGTTTCTACGTTACACAAGCATTTGAAATATTTTATACGACAGGTTTCGAATGCACACACAGAGACAGATACGTACATATGTACAAGCGCGAACGAGTATGAGTGTGTCTATATATTACTTTGAAATTTATCCTCTTTTTTTCTTTTTTGTTTATAAGAATTCAAACGTCAATCGTTTTGTAGATAACAAATTATTTATATGTTAATACCTGTTTTTTTTTTCTTATAATTCGTACAACACGTTTTCTAGCGTCATATTGTTTTCATCTACCGGATTTAAATAACAAAAAAAAACAACTTTAAAAATTAAAAAAACATCTTAAAGATATATTCCATGGATCATTGTATTATTCGAAACTTAAAATGTGTCGCCTTATAAATAATGTTATTAAAAAAAAAAAAAAATAAAAAGTGTCACGAATTTCGTCCCATAAATATTATCTTCTTATAATAAATTATTATAAATATATAAAAAAACTCACCAATCGTAAAGTGATCTTCCAAAACTATACAGATTTATCACCAAAGTTTATCCAAATAGTTGTTGTTTATCCAGTCTTTGATTAGATAGAAATAAATCACTCTTAATATTGTCTAAATGTTCTAAAAGAAAAACAAAAAAACAAAAATTCACTAAAATTCGAATTTAGTACACGCACTAGATTATTGACGACGTTTAAAAAGCAATCATTAAACCAACAAAAAATGCACTGAATTTGGAACGTTAGAAAAAATTGTTAAAATTAAGAATGAATTAGAAAAATGAAAAAAGTATCCAAAAAGAGATGAAAAAAAAGACAACGGGAGAGCAAAGATCTCAATCTTTTTTCTTTGTAGTTGTTTGACAAACAAAGAAATTGTTTGCAATTAAATGTAACGATGTAATAAGAAATTCAACAGAAAGATACGTAAGGAGGTGTCTATAACGATCAGGGTAACGCGGTTAGACTTGGGATCATTTTAAAACGAGTCCGAGATCAAGGTGATCTTTAAACAGACAAAACTCTCTTTTTTTCATTCGCACGCGTTTTCATCGATTCATGCAATTTCTTACGAGAAATCCTTTTGCGATAGGTCGCGAGGAGGAGAAGGAGGAGGAGGAGATAGAGGAGATGGAGGAGAAGGAAGAGAAGGAGGCTTCAGATTTACGCGCTATTTTTCAATGCTTTTTATCGATGCGACGTGGCTTGCGTCGTTGCATTCGGACGGAGAAGAAAGAGAGAGACAGAGACAGAGATAGGGAATGAAGGATGGTGGTAAAGGGAGTTGGAGGGAGGGAGAGAGATGCAGATAGGCCGCGAGTTCGCTTCAATGACGCAAACCAAATCTCTCTTCTCGTTCAGGGAGCAACAGCAGACTACTACTACTACTACTACTATTACTACTATTACTACTATTACTATTACTTTTACTATTATTACTGGTGTGAGTATTTTCCGTTTATAATACAAGCAAAACAGAAATAAACAAAAAAAAAAGTTCTAACAACAAAACAAAAGGGAAGAAAGAAAGAGAGAGAGAGATAGAAATGGAAAATAAAAAAATCGCATTGTTCTTTCGAAATTCTGATGAGCGCAGAGAGAGAGAGAGAGAGAGAGACGCGTATCTTATTAAAAAACGAGAAAAAGAATAAAAACAAAAAAAAACGATAAAAATAATCTCTTTTTTTTTTAATGCAATGAAAATGAAACGGAAAATGACGAAAGTATGGTAATCGCCTTCTCCCTCCTCTTCCACTTCCCTCCTCCTAGCCTTTTTTTTCGATATTCACACTATTTCTCTCTGATTCACGTGAAAAACATTTTTTTTTTTTGGGAAGATCGAATCTTTTGTAATTCGCTAGGTGAACAAGAAGAAGAATAAGATGATGATGATGATGATGATGAATGCTAATAGCACAAGCTGTAACAATCAGGAAAACACTTGTTCTCGTTATTATTCTTTTTCGTACGATAAACACGATTACGTTCTGGCGCAGGCGCATTTACGAGCGGGAATTTTGGAGAAAATATTTCCTCTTTCGCACTATCTTTTTCTCTCTATTTCTCTCTCTTTGTCTCTCTCTCTCTATCTCTCTCTCTCTTTCACTCTTTCGTGATCTATATAGATCTTTGTCCCTTGTTCTCACACTTAAAAAGAAAAAAAAAAACAAAAATAACTTGCAGAAATATTGTGTATCACCTTTTTTTTTTATTGTTTTTTATATATATGTATAATTTCAATGTTCACAATTATCACTACGACGATTTGTGGACTTTTAACGAAAACCAACACGAGTGATTTAAATAAAAAAAAATAAAAAAATATCAATCGACGGGATTTTAAAAGAACGGGGAAATAATCAAAGGAAGGACAAAAAAAATGAAGACAAATTTTAGGAAGAAGAAAAAGAAGAAAACGTGTGCAGTAGAGTAGTAGTAGTAGTAGTAGTAGTAGTATAGTAGTAATACTCGTACCAATAATAATAATAATAATAATAATAATAATAATAATAATAATAAAAAGAAACAAAAATCGTTCGGTCGTTCGAAAAATACGATCAAAAATTAAATGTTTCTCGGATCCGCGAGGTTTCTTTTCACTCGTCGCACGATCTCGCGAGGAACGAACGATGTCGCACGCGCGAGCACTCGTCGCACGATGCAGCGGCACCTCCTCCTCCTCCTCCTCCACCTCTTCCTCCTCCTCTTCCTCTTTCTCCTTCTCCACCTCCACCTTCGCCCCTTCCTCCTGTTCGAACAACGTCGTCACTACCTCCACCACAACCACCACCACCACCACCACCGCTGCACAATATCCCTACCTACCCCCCCTTCTACACCAACACACTACCTCTTCCTCCTCTCCTCCTCCTCCTCCTCCTCCTTCTTCTTCTTCTTCTTCTTCTTCCTTCACCTCCTCCTCCTCTACCTCTTCCTCCTCTTCGTAGCTGTTCCGAACCGACGTCGTCGTCGTCGTCGTCGAAGTCGAAGCTACGACGATATTTAGTCTCTATGAAAATGGACGCGTTAAGGCTCGCACCAGTCAAGTGTAAGAGAGAGAGAGAGAGAGAGAGAGAGAGAGAGAGAG